CCCAAAGAGAGTGCTAGGCCCGGGGGCAGAGGTGCGCTGCTGAGGACTTTGCCCTACATGCACTACTTCTTCCTGGTGTGCTGAATGTCTAGATGTCGTCGCCGTCCTTGCAAAACCAGCAAAGCATGGATGCAATGAACGCAAGCCCGCCTTGCTCTCACGTCGCTCACGTGCTTTCTGTCTTCTTTGTTGTCGCTTCATGTCCTGAAAGGCAGCGGGCTTCAGCGATGGCCGAGGCTCGCAACCCAAGGACTCGGGAGATGATCTACTCAGCGTGCAGAATGAACTGCCGAGCTGAGAGACTTCAAAGCTTCAAGAGGCTGAAAGCTCCGATGTAGCTGTGTCTTGCCTGCATGTTCCGAAAGCACTGGTGGCGGTGCCACCTCTTGGATCTTCCCAAGAATTGACACTCCGAGCCTTCTTTCAGAATGCAATGTGCGCATCCCATGCAACAGTACACGCGCGCAGCTTCCATCCTGCGCTCTTCGCCGTGGCGAACCGCGTACAACAGCAGCCTCTTTCTAAATGAAACTTCCTGGGCCTCGAGCTCTCGTGAAATTGACATTGAAGCTTCATATCTGCAACTTGATGCTAAAATCTTGCTGCCTGGCCGGCTCGTCACATGAGCCCTCAGTTGGTGCCGTGACGGTGCTATGATAGTGCTTCGCATCGAGATGGCGTGGGGAGAAAAGATGCGATCGACGACTTCGAAGGTCGGAAAGTGCAGAAATCAACAGAAGAAGAAAACTCCGGACGACTCGGGACACTCTCGCACCGGTCCTTCCATTCGTCTCTCTTCACGTCTGGAAGGGCCGCAAGAGCCTCCTTGGTTGAACCCGAACAGAGTCGCACAGCCACAGGTTCAGTCTACTCTTCTACGGAGGTACAACGGACATGCATGGCTACCAAATGTAGGGGCTAGTCCAGTTCTGTCATAACTTAGCAACCTCTTTCCCTCAAGCCCAGACCTCGGCAGCAGACTGCTCCGCGAGCTTGCGCGTCGGCTGCCAGTGGCCGGTGTACGTCGAGCCGTCGAGGCACCGCAAGGTAACTGTGGACCGGTACTGCCAAGCGTTGGACCCGCTTTGCTCAAAGCTTTGTGTCTCGTAGGGCAAATCCTCGCGAGTGATCTCTCGGTCAACTCGCGCCTTCACCTCCTGCAGCAAGGCTGGAGCTGGCCAGTCATGCGCATCCCTTCCTATATGCAAACCTTGAACGACACATCTTCTACATGGCCAGAATTTGCTGACACGCAAAATTGTGGTGAAAGAAGGTCCCAAACGCATTAGCGCAGTTTTGCCGCCCGGACCGGCCTCGTGCAAGTTGCTCTTGAAGCGGTGTTGCTGTTGTGTCCGCTCAGGTTGGCGAGGGTCGAACTCAGGAAATTCGGAACAAATGGCAGCATACGCGGCTGAATGTTCGGCCAGTTTCTTTGTGTGACACAGTTCCCCATGGTACGAGTATCGAAAATTGGGGGCCTCCACCACGGATCGAAACTCTTTCGAAGTTGGTGCAGTTGGCGTGGTCACTTCCTGGGTACTGAATGTAATGTCACCCTTTTGGATGGGTCTTTGCGTCGCCTTCGCGTACAGCTCCTGCAGTTTCCCTATCCAGTTGATCTGCCGGCAATCTCTGGCTGGTGCCTTCAGCGGATCTGCAGGAGGTTGCGGATATTGAGAAATAGTAGTAGTTCTTCTCGCAGCTTTGCTAAGCTCATGGCTGACAAGTCGCTCGCGCAAGTACAGTATCCTCTGCCAGTGTGTCCGCAAATGATCTGACGGAACGTCAAGATCGAAAATCCGCCGATTAAGATCCTCAACTGCGTCACGTAGCTGTGTTTGGGAGGGGCGGAGGTTTCGCGAGTGTGAACGAGAGCGCTCTCGTTCGAACTGGTCGCGTAAATGCCTTACGCGGCTCTCGCCCGGCGGGGAGCGAGCACGTCCTCGGCCTTTTCCAGGCATCGGCGGCATCGGCTCATTGTGTCGATAACGGGGGCGAGCCATGGGCGAGCCAGTGTAATTAGTCTGATTCCGAATCGGCTGCGGAAAGCATAAGCAAGGTCATCAAGCCTTCCGGCTGCACTGCTGGGTTAACTCACAGCCACTGAAGTATGCATTGCACTTAATACTCTCCGAAAACACTGTGGTCTCTCTTCATAAGCGCAGCCTGAAGCGGCAGATCAATTGCTCCAACAGAGCGGAAGTCGAGGACATGCGTCCACCTCAAAAAAGAGCGGGCCTCTCGCTTGATCTGACTTTCGAAGCACTATACACACGTATCGGTTTTCACTAACAGGGCAAGCGGGCTGGGATAGCCTCGTCTCCACCGACTATCACGATCGTTATCGCCATTGCCTGTGTGGTTTTTATCGTCACTATTGTCAAGGTTCTTGTGGCAGTAACGAACTGATCCTGCTACGAATGTATTTTTCACGCATATCGTATCAGTTGCTACTGCCACGTTTTGCAGTGCTGGCGGCTCCAAGTATTGATGTTGCTTCCACCGCAACGACTTTTTTCAAGGCTCTGACGCGTGCTGACGGAGTCGACAACGCAGGGCACCTGGCCGCAGCAAAAATAATTTCAACGTAGCTTTCCAAAGCCATTGCCAATTGCCACACTAGGTCTCACTGGGTATTCAGCCTGGCGCTCCTGTTGTCTGTCAAGGCACTTTTTCCGCACGGCTGCTTCTTGCTGCTCGAATCGAATGTGTGAAGACTCGGCCGACGAATGAATCGAACTCCGGCATGTTCAAATCCGAAGCGCTAGCGTAAAGGAATCAAATTGCTGAGGCCACTCTGAGGCCAGATCTGTGAATCTCAGGTATTCCAACCAGTGCCAAGACCGGAGACTTCGAGTTGCTCCACAGGAGAAGGGGCAAAGGAGCAGCTGCTTCAAGTCTGGCGCAGGCACATCTACGCGTGAGTACGGGACACACGAAGTCAAGCTTGAAACATATGTAGGGGGCATGACTTGGCCAAAGAACGATGCAGTCCCAGGGGGCGAGTGTGTAAGATTGCACAGGCCGTCTATCTGCAGCTGCTCAAAGTGAAAAGACACTGGCAGCAGCGTGCGAGTCCTGCACCATGAAACTGTACGACCACCAATGCAATCCCTGCGTAGCTTCGGGGGAAGCAGCGATGTTGTTTCTCGGACACCTACAGCCAACATGTCAAATATCTACCATCTACCAGGACACCTCAAGGCAAAGGCACTCAGGAACAAAGAAGGGAACTGTCGTCGAAGCAATGGGCCCCCGGAACATCCCTTCAACTCGAGCTGGAGTTCTCAGATTGCTTCAATGTTCGCCCAGTGCCCAGCGACGAGAATGCATAGGTTGCAGAATTTGCTGGAGAGTAATAGTTCATTTTTCTTTTGGTAAATGTTGTACCCAACAACAGTATGAAGGAAGTCGTAGCCGCCTCAGCTGTGGAGGCAGATGCCAGATGCCGAGAAGTGACATGAGTGAAAATGCCTAGCGGCATGAAAGCGTGATTATGAATGCGAGAACAAATTTACTTTCTTCTCAACCCTCACAAGAGACCCATGAATGCCTCCGCCTGTGACTTTTTATATAGCAGTTGTTTCCTCTCCAACCGCCACGACGACTAAGACTCGAGACGGCTTCTGGTCGCAGTCGCAGGACCCACAAATCCCGAGGCTCTGTTCATAGGTCGAATTCGTGCTCCAAGCCGCTGCATAACATCACATCTCGTAGCACACGCGCAGGGCTTCGCCAAGCTTCAACTGAAGGGCTGTGCGCAATGATACAAGCTCCGAGCTAGCCCTGCGCTGTCCTACCATGCTACGACTTTGGCAAAGGTACCTGCCATCAGTATAAGTACAACCCTCTAAGACTCTAAGGTCCCACCAACTCCTCCAAATCAGAAGAGCAAGAAGGATGGCAGGCGTCTGAAGGCCTAGAACGAGGAGGATCCGTGCATAATCGCGCCAACGTGCAGTTCAAGGGACCACTCGCAGACTTTGCTGGCAGAGGGCTCAAGTCGTTGTACTCCTGAAGTTGGTTCCGGATACATTGGTACCAGCATGTCTTCCAGTTTGATAATCCTGTACCATCATTACCGGCGTACATCGGCTATGGGCACAATTCTAGATGATGGCATCCGGCAGTTATTCTGTTCTGGCGAAAGCATAGGCCCTTGAGCATTAGCTCAACGTTTCTGCCAGCTCTCCCAGAAAAAGGGCTCGAGTAGGTCAATTAGCTCGAAAAACCACTCCGGGTGCCCCTTCTTAGCAGGCATGCGCGAGCATGCGGCGCTCGGCAGTGGTTCTGAGCGAAAGTGTCTTCGTAGAGTCTTCGAGTTCGCAGAGGGGAGCCCTCCTGATCAAAGCCAGTCGTTGTTTGATCGGCTCTCAGCCCGTGACCTGATGCGGTCCAAACAAAGACACCACCGTGCTTTCATGGCGCCTTGCACGTTTCTTCATATTTTTCTCCTACTGAGTGTTGTGAAAGCCCGGCGGCCGCTTGTCATAGCTTTGAAGCAGTGAGCTCAATAAGTTGCGCAAATCGGCATATTACGCAGCCATGACTGGAAACTGACGCTCAATGACATGGCATGCCTGCAATCATGGACCAGCGTCTCTGGAAATATCGTGTGAAACGAGGTGTTACGCATGGTTAGGCTGACCTAGGCGCGTGCCATGTACGGGTGTGCTTTTCAGCAGGGCTGCAAATAGTGTCATACCGTCACCGAAACAGACCGGTGACCGTCCTCGCTTGGGAAGCGCTGGTACCCTGGTAGCGCACTTCCGCACAGAAAAGTAGACTCGGGATGTCCCTGCACTTTTGGCCCGGAGAGCATTTAAAAGTCACCACTTTGGTGCCCAGCCTCCAGGTTGCACAAGGCAAATGCCGGGGTTTCTATACTGCACTTCCAAAAGCGCACTCGGATGAAAGCTTGCTGAGGCTTGCTGACTCTCAGCGCAGCCGGCCAATAAGGTCCGAAACTTCCTCTGCTGCTTTTCGCTTACGGCTTGCCAAGGGTTCCACGCCGTAAACAGCGACAACCTTCGCCCCTAACCAGCCTTATAGTTAGTGGCGCAGGTACAATTTGAAGCCGGATACAGTCGACGATTCCGATGCTTATTCAAATGTAGGTGTGCAATGTTGAACTCTGGCCATGCTGCGAGAAGGTAACCCTGCAAGCAGCTCGTATTGGTTGGACTCTTGCCACTCAAACGCTCGATGCGTCTCTTGTGGACGAGTGAAAGGCATTCTTTGCAGGGTCGGGTGGCCAGAGCCTGACATTCTGACGGGGCCGATCATACGTTGCACGCGCGAGCTGGCATGTACTGTAGAAACCAATTTGTGCTGCGGAGTCCGTCCCTCAGCTCCGCTGAAGAACTCACAGCCCTCTGAGTCGACTCGGTTCTGTTGCCACCATTGGACCTCCAAACTTCTCAAGTCAGCCCCGATCCTGCACTGACCTCCCGACCCTGTTTGCAGAAAATGAAGCCAAAGACAGCTCTCACCGAGCTCCGGAAAGCGGAAGTCATGGGTTGGACGTTCCAGCCCTTAAAGCTTCGAGTCAAGGCCTCAGCTGAGATGGCCTAGATAACGTCAGAGAAACTGGAGCCAGGCGTTCTGAACTCAGAAATATCAACTACACCTTGCACGACGACCATGACGCTCAGATAGAAGCCTTCCGATGATATCGGAAAAATGGGGAAGTAGAGCTCAAACCTCTTTGTATTAAACTACCGCCTTGCATGACGCGCAGCACTGATGATATCCAGCAACACTGAAACGACACCGGGACAGCCTCTGAGCCCACTGGACCCAACAAAGAAGTCGTGATGCAATTGCAATTGTTACAGCCCTACGTCGCACGGATTTGTTCCCCTTTTGTCGTTGACAGTACTTGCTGATGTCTGTTGTAGTGCTGTGCTATTTCTGACTAAGACCTGCTCTTGACTGAGCACCTTGGAACTTATCGACTCCTTCATTCGCACCTGATGGCCATCGAGCTGCCGGCCCCTCCTGATTTGTCGACCCACGATGTCCTCTTTCCCTCCGGATGATTTTTATTGCCGCATGAGCACTGACGAGCACGGTGAGACAGGGTGACCACCTAGAGTCTAGAGGATCTTGTCAAAAAGCTTTATCTACCACGAGCGGTGCGGTTAAGTCCTTGTTGGGGTTCTCACTTCATGGCTCGTGGGTTTGATGCAAATCCCTTCCCTACTATCGCCTCGCATAACTGTTGCGAATGTTTCGGACACTCGAGTGTTTGAAGTGAGTTCCCTTGCGTGTGCACGCTTTGCTCATCCTCTATGCTGGGATCTTTTGTGCAACTTCCTCAACGTGTGTTGTCTCAGCTACACGCAGAAATCGCAACTGTGTTGGATGTCGAACAGGCTGTTGCATGTGAATTCCCTTGCTTCTGGAAGCCGCACATAATTCCCCCGTGTTTGAACGTGGACCTTTCTGTTGGACTGCAGTTAGGCTCTGTACCGTTCTTCAGGGATACTTCGCGCGAAGGTGTCCTTGCTACGCATGAACTCCAGTGCTGTTGGGTGAGCTATATACATGGAGAAAAGCATAGCAGCGTCGCGAAAAGCTGTAAACCACCAGCATCACACGCAACCGCCCTTTCTGACTACTATGACATAATTCACGAATTCTGCTGCGTGCTTTGTGTTCGATGTGAACTTTGAGCCGTTCGTCGATTGCGAATGCCTTCTGCTGGATGTATCGATGAGCTCCCGACAGAATGCTTCGCATCGCTTCCGTCGTGTCGAAAGCTTCAAGCGTCGCCTCTTCCGCCTGGTGCTGGATGCTTTGCGAGGCATGAACCCCCTGCCTAGCGGCCCAGCGTTTTCTTGGATGTGCAACGTCCGGCTTCTCTTCCGCTTGTGCTGAATATGTCTCCCAAGCGCGAATTTCCTTGCTTTCTGTTGCTTCGCATACCTCCCCCTTTGTGCTGGGGTGCCTCCGCACGCGAACGCCTGCTGCGAGGCAAGAAAGCTGCAGTTCGCTCTTGAACGATGCCATTCGGATTTTTCTCGCGGTGTCTCGGGCGTCGCCAATAGGATTACTTGATCCATGCAACGACTGCAACGATATGTAACGCCAAATCTAGACTCTTCTACACTGACTCACCATGTCAAAGCTGCACGGCTGAATCGGCAATGGCCACCACGCAGGCACCGTGCTTGCCGGGAAGACCCGTAGGTCTCCAGCGTATGTACACCAACTCAGACTGTCTCCTGCCTCAGCCGACATAGAATTCAAGCGATGATGGGTCTCCAGCCCCGTCGGCATCACCACGGCAGTCGACTAAATGTGCAGCAGTTGCATTCCACTAAGGCCAATGCTGCCGATGTGGCTTTCCGGCTGTGAGCACATTGGCAAGCTTCACCTGACTCCGCAGAAAAGCCACAGACAAAAGAAAACCAAAACACGTGGCAGGCTGCCATGAATAAGCCTACCAAGGAGGAAGGAAGTACATGTTCTTCTTTGCTCGTCCCAAAGACACCGAACAGGTAACCGTTTGGGCGCCGCTATTTTTCGGTAGTCTACGTCCGAAATGAGAGGTCCG